TTTTCTTCATTATTTGTCTCCAAAACCAAAATGAAAAACAGATGATTCGTTTTTTTTCAGTTTTGATTTTGTGTTTAAATGAAAAATGGAAAAAATGGATAACGACCGTTTAACCGTGACTGCGATGTCGGACTTTTGCGCTGCACGCGGACTGAACCAGGACTGATCCAGGTTCGGGATCAGACCGGGACCAGACCGACACTGAGACCAGACCGGGACCAAACTGGGACCAGAGCGGGACTGAGACAGAGACCGAGACCAGGCTGGGACCAGACCGGGACTGAGAGCCGGACCAGACTGGGACAAGACCGGGACTGAGACCAAGACCAGGCTGTGACCAGACCGGGACTGAGACCGGGACTGAGACCGGGACTGAGACCGGGAACTGAGACCGGGATTGAGACCGAGACCAGACTGGGACCAGACCGGGACGAGACCACACTGAGACCAGACCGGGACCAAACTGGGACCAGAGCGGGACTGAGACCGGGACTGAGACCGGGACTGAAACCGGGATTGAGACCGAGACCAGACTGGGACCAGACCGGGACCAGACCGGGACTGAGACCCGGACCAGACTGGGACCAGACCGAGACCAGACCGGGACTGAGACCAAGACCAGGCCGGGACTGAGACCCGGACCAGACTGGGACCAGACTGAGACCAAGACCAGGCCGGGACCAGACCGGAGGCTCAGAGCCAGCAGCAGGGCCGGAGCTCGAAGCTGAGGCTCGGACCCTGCGGAGGCTCAGAATCAAAGCTCGAAGTCCGTTCTGGTTCCAGTCTGGTTCTGGTCTGGTCCCGGTCTGGATCAGTCCTCGTTCAGTCCGTATGCAGTTCAAAAATCTGGCATCACAGTCACAGACGTCACGTAAACGGGAAACAGTCATCTGTTTTTTTCCATTTTTCATTTAAACACAAAATCGAAAACTGAAAAAACGAATCATTATCTGTTTTTTCATTTTGGTTTTGGAGACAAATAATGAAGAAAACTTTTTTTTTTTCATTTTCTGATTTTTGGTTTTACATTGAAAAATGAATGAACGAGCGACACACGGATTTGTGTACCATTTGTTTTATTTTATAATTTTAGTTTTATTTACTTTTGCTTTTTGATGAGTTTTTTGAGATATTCTAACGGGTGAACAGTGTAAAAACTCAATCGTCTCGCCTCGTTCACTGACCTGCTGCTGTGAGAGGAAAAGAACGAGTTTGTTTTGGAAAAGGAGCTTCAGTCGCCATGTTTGGGTCAGTAATCAAAGAAAGAGAAGAAGAAGAAGAAGAAGAAGAGACCGAGAGAAGATGAAGGGACAAGATGGAGCTGTCAATCAAACGCTCTGAATGAGACTGAAGGAGAGAGGGAGGAGAAAGAGAGGGAGGAGAAGGAGGAGGAGAGAGAAGGAGGAGAAGAACAAGAAGGAGAGAGAGGGAGGGAAGAGAAAGAGAAGAAGGAGGTGGAGAGTGAGAGAGAGGAGGGAGTAGGTGAGAAAGGGAGGGAGGAGAAAGAGAATGAGAGAAAAGGAGGAGAGAGAGAAGGAGCGAGTGGAAAAGAGGAAGAGAGAGGGAGGAGAAGTAGGAGGAGAGAGGGAGGAGTGAGAGAGAAGGAGGAGTAGGAATAGGAGAGAGAGAAGAAGATACTGGAAAGAGAAGGAGAGAGAGGGAGGAGAAGGAGCAGGGGGGAGAGAAGGAAGTGGAGAGGAGGGGAAGAAAGGCGAGGGAGTGGAGGAGAGAGTAACAGGAGGAGAATGAAAGATAGAAAGGAGAAAGAAGGAGACGGGGGCATAATGAGGGGGAAAGAGAGGAGAGTGAAAGATAGAAAGGAGGAGAAAGGAGAAGAAGAAGAGAGGGGGCATAATGAGAGAGAGAGAGGGAAGAGGGAGAAGGAGAGGAGGAAGAGGAGGAGAGAAATGGGGAAGGGAGGGAGAGAGAGGAAAGAGGAGAAAAGAGAATTAGAGAGAGGAAAGGAGAAAGAGAGGAGGAGAGGAGAGTGAAAGAAAGGAGAAAGAAGGAGAGAGGGGGCATAATGAGGGAGGGAAGAAGGGGAGAAGGAGGGAAGAGAGAGGGAGGAGATGAAGGACGAGAGAGAAGAGGGGGAGGAGAGAGCTGAGGAGAGGGAGAGAGAGGGAAAGCGAGGAGAAAGAAAAATAGAAAGGATAAGAAGGAGCGAGGGAGGAGAAGGAGGAAGAGAGGGAGGAGGAGAGGGGGAAGGAGAGAGGGAGAGAAAGGGGGAGGGAGAGAGTAACAGGAGAGAGATAGAAAGGAGAAAGAAGGAGAGAGGGGCATAATGAAAAATGGAGGAGGAGAGGAGGGAGAGAGAGGGAGAAATGGGGAGGAGAGGAAGAGGGGAGAGGAGAGAGGGAAAGAGGAGAGTGAAATACAGAAAGGAGGAGAAAGAAGGAGAGGGGGCATAATGAGAGAGGGTCATTAGAAAGAGGGAAGGAGAAAAAGAGGAGGAGAGGGGGAGAGGAGGAGAGTGAAAGATAGAAAGGAGAAAGAAGGAGGGAGAAGAGAGAGAAAGAGAGGAGATGGTGAGAGAGGGAGGACAGAGAGACTGAGAAAGACGGTGGGAGGGACAGAATGAGGGGGAGAGAGCGGGAAGTGGAAAGAGTGAAGAGGAGGAGGAGGAGAGAGAAAGAATGAGAAAGGGAGGGGGAGAGAGTGAAAGATAAGAGAGGGGGAAAGAGGATAGAGGGAGGGGGAGAGAGAGAGATAATGAGAGAACCATCAGAGCCTTTCAGATACTGGAACCTGCATCATCTGCCACACACAGAGAAAGAAGAGAGAGAAAGAAAGAAAGAAAGGTGTTTTGTTTTTCTTTTTCTTTTTTAAATTAGTTTATTATTTATTTATGTATGTTTTTTTTGTTTTTTTTTATCAAGGCACATGAATAAATATTTAACAATTAACAATTAATCTCACAAAAGAAGAGACGATTTTCACAAAACATCGCAAAAACCTTCCACTATCGTTTCATTCTTCAGCTCCAAACTCACATCTTTTAATCTGCGTTTAAACCGGCGTCTTTTGGTTTTTACTTTTATTTATTTATTTACCTCCATCATTTCATGTTAAAGTATTTACGACCAGTGTAGTTTTATTATACTTGCCAATAGAAGTTGCTGATACGATGCATATCTCGATACTGTGAGGTTTCGGTTTGATACGATATATTTCAAATCGATTCGATACGATTCGATAAAAAGTAAAGTTTAAATCATGTCTGTGACGCTAAAAGTCTTTGTTAAATCACTTCTTCTTGTGCAAAGTTCATATGAAAAACATTTTAATCATCAAAACAGTGAAAATGTCAAATGTGTCGCATAAACGAGTTTCCTTTCACTAGACCACAGGTGTCAAACATACGGCCCGGGGGCCAGATCCGGCCCTCCAAGACCTTTAATCTGGCCCTCGGCTGATTTTCTACTAAAATATTTTAATTATATTTTCTATTAAAATCTTGTTAATTTTCTGTGGTGTTTATCACAGCAGCGTCTCCAGCGTCTCTGTACGTGGCCCCTCCCACCAGAGCAGCACAAATGAAGACTTGTCTCTTTCCAAACGCTCTTAAAGGACGATCGTTTTGACTGTTGACCGTGACACCCTCATCAGAAAAATGTCCAACATGAGAAAAGTGGAGCCGAGTGCAGGATTTTACAACAAAAATTGACTTAATCCTTTTTACATACAAGTTCATGTTAAAACTTTGTGTTGAAATTGTATTTTTCTTAAAGTTTCAGGTTGTTCATAATATTATAATATTTTGTTAAAGAAAGAGTTCATCAATTAAAAAAGATTTCTGTAATAGATTTGTGTTTCTCTGCACAAATATTTGAACTTATTATTATTTTTGGGGTTTATATGACATGAGTTTTCTGATCCGGACACTTTGGGATCAAAGTCGGTTGGACACGACCCCCGGACCAACAATGAGTTTGACTCTCCTGATCTAAACAAACAACTAAACTGTAGCTGTAATAAAATAATTTAGTAAAATATACCAAAAAATACTCTTGGTGATATATCGATACAGCAGCCAACAATATCGATACTGTATCATCACATTAAATGATACGATATATTGATATTTAGATATTTTTGCACAAGAGGTAATTCCATAACTGTTACGTAGCAACCATAACATCAACATCTAAGACCCCGTTTTACACTTTAAATCCGCGTATCACCGTATCACTGAATCACTGTATCGGAAATTATTTGTGTCCAGGCTAGTCGTATCTGTGTCCGCAATCCTTCCTTACCCACACGACTTGGAGCATATTTGTTTACATGTTACAGAAACTAAACTTAAAACCACATGGCTCATTTGCATAAACTGAGCGCTCAAAAAAAACTGTTCGCTCCTTGTGTCGCTGATGTGGTTCAGCTTCTGTCGGACTAAAGGACACAGTGACTCAGTGGAATATGAGTGTTCTTTCTGTGACAGAGGGATGTTCTGCTGATGGTGAGTCTGTTCTGTGTTTCTGTCGTGTTGGAGATGGTTCACGTTAAACTTTTCAGAGATTAAAACGTCTGCAGGTCGTACACACAGACACACGTTTATATGAATGGACATATGTTCTAAACTCTTGGCGGTGACTTATTTCATCAGAGTATCAGTGTTTTCAGGCGTCCACACGGTGCCGGATCAGATCTGTGCTCAGGTGAATTCGTGGGAGCTGGAGGCACCAGATCGTTTCGTCTCTGGAGCCTTTTTCCATCGGATTAGTGTGAACGAACACTGCATCCACAACAACAAGGACTCGAATATGTACTAGTGAGGACTGGGGCGAATTTACACAACAGTTATGATTAGACCACATGGTTCCCAATCTTTTTCACAGACAAAATTCCAAAACTTTTCCATGACTTTTTCATTGACCTAAAGTGAATTTTTCCATGACTTTCCAGCTTGACAGGTGTGACCGAACATCCTTATTTACCCAAAACAGTCCCACAGGTTCCAAATCTTTTTCACTGACAAAATTTCAAACCTTTTCCATGATTTTTCATGAGCTAAAGTGAATTTTCCATGACTTTACGGCACCTACATGTGTAGAATTGATCAGACTTTTAAGGCGAAATATGAAATGTTAATCATTTCCTCTCACCTTATGGTTTGGGATTATAGTTTTTTAACATTCAAAATCCTGCATTTATTGTCGTGCTCTTTTAAACAAAAGGCGCAGACGTTCAGAAATACTCAGAATAGAACGCTGGATTTATGTGAAAGAGATACTAAAATTCCATCACCTTTCCCAAACTTTCATTGACTTTTCGTGGATTTCCATGACCGTGGGAACCCTGACACTAATAAAAATATATGTCAACACTTTTATTTTGTTAAATGAAGATTAAAACTGTCAGAAAAAGTCCTTGTTTGGGCATAAATTGTCTCATTGTGTCATTTTGATGGAGTTTTCTGTGCTGATGACATCAATAGAGGGATTGTTTTTTATTTTTATAGTTTTCTTTTCAAATTTTTTCCACTTAACTGATGTAAAACTCTGGTAAATATTGACCACGGGAACTTTCCACCAAACCGAGTCATAATTAGAAAAACGTCTTCTAAAGCCTTTGTCTCGGTCTGTGTGACGTCGGGCTGTTCCTTGTTGTAAACGTGAGAAGAACACTTTTAGCAACACGAGTATCTCAGAGCTTTGATAAGAAAACCTCAGACTGAGTGTCTCTGCTGTGTCCACTCACTGCCCACATGGATCAGATGTTTGTCCCTTATCTCCCTCCGTAGATCAGCCCCTTGGCCCCACATCAATAACCTGCCCCGGCTTTGTTCTGGTTTGGCTTCACCGCTCCAGCGCTCCACTGCTCCAGCTAACCACTGTCCACGAAAGGGCTAACCACTCTGCCAGTGCTAACCCCAGTGCTCACAGCTAACCCTCACACACACGCACACACACACACACACACACACACACACACACACAGAGATCTTTGTGTAAACACTGCAGCGGTGGGTGGGAGATGTCGTCGAAAGTGAAGCTGAAGACGTGAAAAGTTCATTGTTTTAAAGCAGAATTCTCCAGACTGAAGCTCAACAGCCTCAACATCTCCAACTCCTTCACTCCTCAACTCACACACATGTGACTAGGCCTAACCCATGTGTTGGGGAGTAACAGATTACATGTACCGGAGTTATGTAATCAGAGTACAAATGATGAGTAACTGTATTCAGTTACAGTTACTGTTTCAGTGAGTGGGAATTGGATTACAGTTACTTTGTTGAAATAAATGGATTACACAGAGGGATTTTCCTGTTTTCACATTTTGAGCTATTCCTTAATTCCACTCATTGCCGAACACTAAACCAGGTCTAAAACCAGGTCTAAAACCAGGTCTAAACCAGGTCTAAACCAGGTCTAAACCAGGTCTAAAACAAGGTCTAAAACCAGGTCTAAACCAGGAAAACCAGGTAAACCAGGTCTAAACCAGGACTAAACCAGGACTAAACCAGGTCTAAACCAGGTCTAAACCCAGGTCTAAACCAGGACTAAACCAGGTCTAAAATCAGGTCTAAAATCAGGTCTAAAACCAGGTTTAAACCAGGACTAAAGCAGGACTAAAACCAGGTCTAAAACCAGGTCTAAACCAGGAAAAAACCAGGACTAAACCAGGACTAAACCAGGACTAAACCAGGTCTAAACCAGGTCTAAAACCAGGTCTAAACCAGGACTAAATCAGGTCTAAAACCAGGTCTAAAATCAGGTCTAAAATCAGGTCTAAAACCAGGTTTAAACCAGGACTAAAGCAGGACTAAAACCAGGTCTAAAACAAGGTCTAAAACCAGGTCTAAAACCAGGTCTAAAACCAGGAATAAACCAGGACTAAACCAGGTCCAAAACCAGGTCTAAACCAGGTCTAAAACCAGGACTAAACCAGGACTAAACCAGGACTAAACCAGGTCTAAAACCAGGTCTAAACCAGGTCTAAACCAGGACTAAACCAGGACTAAAGCAGGACTAAAACCAGGTCTAAAACAGGGTCTAAAACCAGGTCTAAACCAGGAATAAAACCAGGTCTAAAACCAGGTCTAAACCCACGTCCAAACCAGGACTAAACCAGGTCTAAACCAGGATTTAACAGGACTAAACCATGCATAATATTAAAATGATAATATTAATAATAATAATAAGTCACACCAATGTATAAGTCACAGGAAACACTCAAACCATGAAAAAAGTGTCACTTATAGTTCAAAAAATATGGTACATTTGAATGTTCACGTTGGACTAACGGCCCTGATGAGTGAGATGCAGGTTATTATGTGACGAGCGCAGACACTGGCGTCTTCGTGAGGACGTGAGGAGCCCCTCTCCGCCCCACCCCGACCTGGCACCGCCGGATGTCCCGCAGTGTCTGGAGAAAAGAGAAACTGAGTGATCCGAACACAAATGTCCGCTCTGTTTCAAAGTCCAGAGTGCACCGGTCTGCGCCAATAACATTATTATTAGTTTTTACAATCTTAAACGGGGGGAAAAAATGGCAACTTTAAAAAGTGAAGATAAGAACTAAGAAAAAAAGTGATTGTTTTTCTGTTCTTTCTTGGAATTCTGTCATTGTTTGATAGGATTGGGCGTTAAGTA